AAAAAAAAAAAAAAAAAAAAAAAATGGTATAATAATATTGTTTCCATTTTTTTCCACCAGCCATAATTCATTTCCCTTTGTTTATCCTAACATTTTAAAATTTCATGTTTTTTCAACATTATCGGTTGTCTACACAGGTGTTGGAAAAGGTTTCCCCCACCCCACCCTCAGCTCCTACCCCATGAGTGTTAGGAACTAAGTGTAGTGGGAAAGGTTATTCCCACGCAATTTCAGGAGGCATGTGTGAACAAATCATACTGAAATTGAGACTTGCAAGTTTATATTTTTTAGAAATAATGATATATAAGAGGTTTTTTTCATGTTAAGCATTAGTTTAACATTTGTTTTACATAGAATTTTCAATCTTTTCTTAGAGAAAACAATTTAATTAGCATATGGAATAATGGAAAAGGAATTCCTGTCGTTGAACACAAAGTCGAGAAGGTGTATGTCCCAGCTCTCATATTTGGTCAGCTCTTAACTTCTAGTAACTATGACGATGATGAAAAGAAAGTAACAGGTAGAGTATTGAGGGAAAATAAAGAACATACTTATTGCTGAAGAAAACACATCTTTGAAATGATTATCTACAACTGGGCATGATGGGATGCTCCTGTAATTCCAGCATGCAGGAGGCTGAGGCAGGAGAATCGCTTTAAGTTTGTAGCTAGCCTGGGCTACATAGTGAGTTGAAGTCCAGCTTGAATTGCATAGCGAGACTCACTCCAAAAAAATAAAATAAAATAAAAAAAGACTATCTGATATGAGGGTTAAGAATATAAGAATAACCCTTTATAATTGAATTAACTTTACCATGATTAAAAAATAAAGCTGTCAATGAAATTATAATAAAATGGTGTTTTAAATTTGTTTGCCCAGGTGGACGAAATGGCTATGGAGCCAAATTGTGTAACATATTCAGTACCAAATTTACTGTGGAAACAGCAAGTAAAGAATACAAGAAAATGTTCAAACAGGCAAGTAAATAGGTCTCTCGTGTACAGCCATCTATAATGACATTAATGGTAGGTTTAATTTAATTTAAGTCATTAAATCATGGGATGTTACTCTTGCCATATACTAGATTATTTTTCAGGACTGATGCACTTAGTTCCAGTTCATAAAATGAGTTTTTCATGTTTTCTGTTCTTTACTTCCATAGACATGGAGGGATAACATGGGGAGGGCTGGTGAGATGGAACTCAGGCCCTTTAGTGGAGAAGATTATACATGTATCACCTTCCAGCCCGATTTGTCTAAGTTTAAAATGCAAAGCCTGGACAAAGATATTGTTGCACTGATGGTTAGAAGAGCCTATGATATTGCTGGGTCCACTAAAGACGTCAAAGTCTTTCTTAATGGAAACAAGTTGCCGGTGAGTATTTCTCTGGCTGTGGACGTAAGGGAATTTGTGATCATTGTCAAATGCAAAACTGAGGGGAAAAAAAAGATTTTTATTTTTCCCCTCCCAATTTTTTCCTTATCATATCTTAGATAGGTTTCTGAAAAGAGAATGGAATACATTTTTAACCAGATCATTTTAAACACACAGAAGGAATCACTTTCTCAAATTTAACACCTTAAAAAAATACTCTGTGCCCTTCCTTAATGACCATTCTCTTAGCCCATTAGTGAACATTATTTCATTGGTTTTGAAAAATCCTCATGGTCTATTAACTTTTTTTTTTTGGTACTGGGGATTGAACTCGGGACCTTGTGCTTGTCCGGCAGGCACGGTGCCACTGAGCTACATCCCCAGCCTTTAACTCTACTTTTTTATAGCTTTGTAAAATACCATTACCTTCAATTCCTTTACAGGTAAAAGGATTCCGTAGTTATGTGGATATGTATTTAAAGGACAAGTTAGATGAAACTGGCAACCCATTGAAAGTCATACATGAGCAAGTTAACCACAGATGGGAGGTGTGTTTAACAATGAGTGAAAAAGGCTTCCAGCAGATTAGCTTCGTCAATAGCATTGCCACTTCGAAGGTAAATTTATAAGTGTTCTTAATGTTGTTAATGTACACAATAAATAGACAGATATTTGGCTACCTTGGTGTAAAGAAGCTGAATGCATTTTAACTATTTGATTATTATTGTTGCAGTCCTGAGGATACTGAGGTTAACAGTTTTTCTTCTTCACCAGGGTGGCAGACATGTTGATTATGTAGCTGACCAGATTGTGACCAAACTTGTTGATGTAGTAAAGAAGAAGAACAAGGGTGGTGTTGCAGTAAAAGCACATCAGGTATGGTATTTTAGCACTTTTCTTTTTCTAAAGTCAAGGCAGAAGAAAAATTATAAATACAGCATGAAGGATTTTTAGTGACTTTATATCAACAACTCTTCTTGCAGGTGAAAAATCACATGTGGATTTTTGTGAATGCCTTAATTGAAAACCCAACTTTTGACTCTCAGACAAAAGAAAACATGACTTTACAAGCCAAGAGCTTTGGATCAACATGCCAATTAAGTGAAAAATTCATCAAAGCTGTGAGTACTTCAAGGGAAATAAAAATAGAAACACCTGACTTTATTTTCCATTGCCGTTTTCAGCTCTGCAGAAATAGATTTCCTCCCACACTATACTTTGAGTTTTTCCAATCTGAAAAGGAAGTAAAAAAAAAAAATAGCTTTTTACCTCTAACCTTACGCAGAGGCTTTCTTACCACCAATATACCTATATTTTCTAAGTGCGTGCAAACTGAATTTGTTACCAACATACTCACTGACCCATAGTCCCCATTAAACTAAAATATTTCCTTCCTAGTTAAAAAAAACAACACCCAACCAGCCACTGCATTGTATAAACAAAAAGGTGCGGGAGTCCTTCCTCTAACAACAGGATCATCTCTTGAATGCCTTTGATCCTCCACCACTCTCTCTGCTGGATTACTGTAATAGGTTCTTAACCTTCGCATTGTGTCAGTCCTTTCTTTGCAGTAGTCTTGGGCAACATTTTTGTGTTACAAAGCACGCGTTTTAATTTTTATTTTATTTATCCTTTTTTGGTACCGGGGATCAAACTCAGGACCTTGTGGTTGCAAGGCAGGCGCAGTGCCATTGAGCTAAATCCCCAGCCCAAAGCACACATTTTTGTCTCCGGCCTCTTGAAATCTTTCAGTGACTTACACTCAGGAACAGTCTGAATTCCATTTCCTCAGGAAAACATTTACCATCTACCCATCTCCTCAGCTAAGCTGGTTCCAACGTAACATTGAACCCATGTTGTTACCATTTAATCATGACTCTCATCATACTCTGTCATTTTTTATCTTATTTCTGCCTTCCAAGTTATACCTTGAACTCCTTAAAGACAATTACCTTGTCTAATTTTCAGCTGTTTCTGTAACAAGTAGCTCAGCACAGTATAGGAAAATAGTAAACGTTTGCTGAATGAACCAAAAGCAGCCAGCTGCCTTACTGGTGAGAAGGCAGGAAGATGCAGAAATTACTGTATCACTCTTTAGTCAGAAATTATTGTTCTATCTCTTTTTCAATCTTTTTTTGTTTTGTTTTGTTTTTTTGAGTCAGGGTCTCGCTATGTAGTTAAGACTGACCTGGAACTCACTATGTAGCCCAGGCTGGTCTCGAACTCACAGCGATCCTCCTCCCTCAGCCTCCCAAGTGCTGGGATTACAGGCGTGCACCACCACACCTGGCTCTTTTTCAATCTTTGAATTATTTTTATTTTCCTGGGGGCTTATTTCTATTCTAGATTTCTGAAAGAATCCTTCTCTAATATGAATCTTGTTTTCAGGCGATTGGCTGTGGTATTGTTGAAAGCATACTGAACTGGGTGAAGTTTAAGGCCCAAGTTCAGTTAAACAAGAAGTGTTCAGCTGTAAAACATAACAGAATCAAGGGAATTCCCAAACTTGATGATGCCAATGATGCAGGTACATATTTATAATAATGTTTCCAAACTTTGAATTTTGTGCTTCAGTTCTTTTTTTCATTAAAACATACCATGGAGGGCCGGGGATTTAGCTCAGTGGTTCTGCTGCCTGCCTCACAAGTGCAAGGTCCTGAGTTCAATCCCCAGTACCCAAAAAAAAAAAAGCATACCATGGATATTTTTCCCTTGAGGTTTAATATTCAGTACAATAAATTGGTTAAAAAAATAAATTGTCTGTTGTTAAATATTTAAATCACTTTCAATTTGGGGTCATTATAAGTAATACTGAAATAATTATTTGGGAATATAAAGTAAGAATATTTATATAGAGTGATGTATTACCTAAAAAAAAGATTTTCAATATAATGTGACCAAGTGAATATGTAGCAGTACTGTAAATGTTGTGAGGAATTAATCTAAGAAACTGAAACAGTATTCTTCCCTTGACTTCAGGGGATAAAATTGTAAAACTCCCAGCCCATACCTGACACTGACTACTACCAACTCTACATGAACTGTGTTGTTCCTAGACACACGTACCTGTGATGCAAGCACTGTGAGAGAGTAACAACAGTACCTAATAAAAATGAACAATTTAACAATACATTGTAAGCCTGGCATGGTGGTGCATGCCTATAATCCCAACATTCTGGAGGCTGAGGCAGGAGGATCGCTGTGAGTTTGAGACCAGCCTGGGCTACATAGTGAGTTCCAGGTCAGCCTCAACTACGTAGTGAGACCCTGTCTCAAAAAAAACCCAATATATTGCAAGGAAAGTTATAAAAGATGTAGCAGCTTAATACCTTTCAAAATACTCTCCCTTGCTTCAAAAATACTTAATCCCATCATTTTTGCTATTTCCTTTTCTTTTTGGCAAAGGGCAGTGCAGGGTCTTACTTTGTAGCTCTGGCTGACCTTGAGCTGACTGTTTAGCCCAGGCCGGCCTTAAACTCATGCCAGTCTTCCTGCTTCAGCCTCTCAGTGTTGGAAACACGGGCACACTGAGCTCTTGTCATTTTCTGAAGTAGCTCTCGAAGTCTTGATTAGTGTCCTTCGTTGTGCTGCTTCTCTTGATGTCCTGCATCCATTCAGAGTGGTTCGCTTTCGCGGTGGTTTTGACTTTGGGGAAGAGCCAGATCCGGTGAAGAAGGCGATGAGGTCACGGCCTCATGTTCGTATGGAGCTGCCTTTCTGTTGGTGACGCTGAGCGGCGGCAGCATTCACTGTTTTGAGCCTAAAGATAGGAGAGACTTCCAGAACTGCTTCCGGAAATGGCAACCATGATGAGATGGGTGTGTTGGAAGTGAGGAGGAGTATCTTGAAAGGAGTGAATGGCGATGTATCTTACTGCAATCATTTCAATTTGCATACTCACTGTATACCTTGATCACACTGCCTGTCATAGCACACCCTTGCTCCTTGTGAGGGATTGACAGTGCTTGTGCAGGAAGTGAGTAAGCGATAAGGCGGTGCAGCAGCGTTTGGCTGTTACACGAAGGTGGTTTGAACACCAGCCCTGGGATGATAACGGTCAGTCTGATAACCCTGACAGCTACTCAGTGACTGACAGAGAGCACACAGCATGGACGCAGGGAACAAAGTAACCATTCGTGACCCGGTTGGGACCTTGTGAGCTTTCATCAGACTACTCAGAACATTGCACAATTCTAAAATGACCAATTGTTTATTTCTGGAATTTTCCATTTATAATATTTTTGGACCATGAAATGGAAAGTAGAGCCATGAATGAGGGAAAACTACTGTAGCTTTTTCTTTACTGTGAGCTTTAAAGCATGTATCTTATTGACTCCATTTTATTCTAAATTGTGTTTTATCACAAGGCTATTAGCAGTATTGTCTGAATTAGTATATTTGAGGTTGAACCAGATGTGCTAAAATTAGTGTATTTTTATTTCAGGAAGCCGAAACTCCACTGAGTGTACACTTATTCTGACTGAGGGAGACTCAGCCAAAACTTTGGCTGTTTCAGGCCTTGGCGTGGTTGGGAGAGACAGATACGGGGTTTTCCCTCTTAGAGGAAAAATACTCAACGTCCGAGAAGCTTCTCATAAACAGGTAGAACTTAAAACTCAGTTGGGAATCCAAGTCGAGTCTAATGTGAGGCTGCACACTTGTATTTCATTTCCTCATTGGGTACTGTGACGTTGTTAGAGAAGGTGTTGGTACTTTAAGAAATTGGGTGTTCTGAGTGTGTGAATTTTACCCTGAGAACCACAAAGTAAATACATTTTTAAATGTGTGCACTTCTGGCATATGTTAACAGACCTTTCAGTCTTATTAAAATGCAGACTGACAGGCATGGTAGTATACTCCTGTAATCCCAGCTATTCGGGAGGCTGAGTCAGGAGGATCCTAAGTTCAAATACAGCCTGGGCAATTTAACAAGAATTTATCTTAAAATAAATTTGTAAAAGGGTTGGGGTTGTAGCTCAGTAGCAGGACCTGTGTTCAATCCCCAGAACCACAAAAAAAGAAAAAGAAAAAAGAATGACAGTCTAATCATACACAATACTAGAGTTCAGGAAACCCCGACCAACGTATGTTATTTTATTCTTTATTCTTTCCACATTTAGAGACAAAACATTACTCATTTTTCATATGTGTTCATTTCAGATCATGGAAAATGCTGAAATTAATAACATCATCAAGATTGTGGGTCTTCAATACAAGAAAAACTATGAAGACGAAGATTCATTGAAGACGCTTCGTTATGGAAAGATAATGATTATGACTGATCAGGTCAGATTTGTTAGGAAATATTTTAGACTATTGAACTAAATTAAGCGTGTCTTTTTTTATTTTTTAGATCCTGTTTAAAAAAATTTTGTGAGATTCAATCATAGCTTTTTCTTTTCTTCATCAATTAGGAGACTTTAATGTTGAAATGTCCACACTACCCCAAGAGATCTATAGATTTAATACAATATCAAAATTCTACTGCCAGTTTTTACAGGGATAGAAAAAATAAACAATTCATGTGGTACAACAGAACACACCCAGTGGGATATTTTTTTGAACACTGCCTGAAGATCACACTTCCAGGAAAGTTTCGTGTAAAAACATTAAAGTTATATTAATAAGCATATGGTGAATTTGAATCTTTCTCCGTGGAGTTTGACTTTCATCTACAGCTATTTAAGAATGTTTTAATTTTCCTAAGATACCAAGGAAGATTAAGATTCATGTTTTAAACAGATCACATTGCAGTTGTAGTGTAGATCATGGCACTGAAGGAAGACTGAAATTAGGGGAGCCAGGTGTGAGGTTCCTGTAGTAAATCATAACTCTTTGAGTCCTAGCAATTCTTTCGTACTTTGATATTTCCAATGTTTTTTAGGACCAAGATGGTTCCCACATCAAAGGCTTGCTGATTAATTTTATCCATCACAACTGGCCCTCTCTTCTACGACATTGTTTTCTAGAGGAATTTATCACTCCCATTGTAAAGGTACGCCAGTTTATGGGATGCAAAAATAAATATTCCAAGACCCTACTCCACTGCTGAGACCCACACAGTGTAGGGTCCAAAGCCAGGGAGAGCGGTGGGAGATGAAGAAAACATGACGAAGAGACCAAGATTGTTCTTGATAGCTGGGACCAGGTGGGACCAGGGCCTGATGAGCTAATGCCGCCTGGTGTCCAGCGCGCTCTTTATAGTGAAGGAAGGCAGGGTAACTAGTGCCATGGGGCTCACGGGGCCTAGGCTGAACGGGATTGTCTCGTGAGAGGGCATGCGCAGGAAAGGAACAAGGATGCATAATGTAAGTGGCTCCTGGGCTGTGCCGGTGAAGGTCTGCAGTCGTCACTCTGTAATCTGGAGGAGAAAGGGAGTAGGGATTAGGCGAAAGGCCGTCTGCAGGCTGGGCCCCCAGCACTTCGTGAACCTGGATATAAATACAACCCCCTGATGGGTGGCAGGAGGCAGGGAACTCCCCATGTGAAAGCTACAACTATGTTCTTTACCACAGGTGTCTAAAAATAAGCAAGAAATGGCATTCTACAGCCTTCCTGAATTTGAAGAATGGAAGAGTTCTACCCCAAATCATAAAAAATGGAAAGTCAAGTATTACAAAGGTTTGTAATGCAACCCACATGGAAGTTCTCGGTTTTATATGTCATTTGTACAAGGGTCCTTGGGGTTACTTGGTGTTTTGGTTTTGTAGGTTTGGGTACCAGCACATCAAAGGAAGCTAAGGAGTACTTTGCAGATATGAAAAGACATCGGATCCAATTTAAATATTCTGGGCCTGAGGATGATGCTGCGATTAGCCTAGTAAGTTTGGGTTGTATTTTGTGTATACATTCTTAATTTTTGAAATCACTACTTTAGCTAATCAGTTGACACATTTAGATTTTTACATGTGTTTTATCAAGTAGAATGTTTCTATTAGGCATATCACAGAAAAGAACCAAATATTTTAGGGAGCAAGACTTTTGTTTTTGATAGAAAAAATATTTTGGAACAGGTAGTACCAATGACATCTTTTTCATCTTCTAATTTCTAGGCCTTTAGCAAAAAACAGATAGATGATCGGAAGGAGTGGTTAACTCATTTCATGGAAGATAGAAGACAACGGAAGTTACTTGGCCTTCCTGAGGTAAAAATATTAATATTTCCCACAAAATGTGCTATTTGATCAACATAGGATTTATATTGTAGCAAACTAAATTTGCTGAATAGGATTTCAGTGAAATTTAATGTAATAAATAATTTTAGGGCTGGGGAATATAAATATAGCCCAGTGATAGAGCATTTGGCTACCATGCACAAGTCCCTGGGTTCAGCCTCCAGTATCAAAGAAAAAAATCTCTAGTCAGGCACCCTATAATTGTTACCATCAACACTGGGTCACATATACCACAGCGCTCCCCTAAAGTTACAATGAAGCTGGAAAATCACATAGCATAAAGTCAGGGCAAGGGTTACATATGTATTTCTGGTGATTCTGGTGTGAACAGAGCAGCTGTACTTCAGTCTTTTTTTGTTTGCTTGTTTGGTTGGTTGGTTTTTTGAGACAGGGTCTCACTATGTAGTTGAGACCAACCTGGAACTCACTCTGTAGCCCAGGCTGGTCTCAAACTCATAGCGATCCTCCTGCCTCAGCCTCCTGAGTGCTGGGATTACAGGTGTGTGCCACCATACCCAGCTGTACTTCAGTCATATAAAAGTGTAGTGCGAACAATTCAATGTGTAGTATACTTGATAGTGATATATAATATAATTGGTGATGAGAATAAATAGTGCTGTTTTTTTGTTTTTTTCTGATTACTGGATTATATATTTGCTTTTATCACTCCCCCCCCCAGTACTGGGGGAGTGAACCCACTTACCACTGCCACCCTACCACTGAACTTTTACCCCAGCTTTTACTGTGTTTTTTAAATTTTGACACAAGGTCTCTCTAAATTTCCCAGGAGGGACTTGAACCTTCAATCCTCCTGCCTCAGCCTCCCTCGGTGTTGGAAGTACAAGACTGGGTCACTGTGCCTTATAGTGTGCATTGTCACTATTTTAAATTGTTTTAAATTTATTGTAAAACGTTACATTTCTATGCTAGTAGTAGCCCCCTACATCTAATGTTTACCAAGTCTCTTGATGATATCCTTTTTCCTTGTGCTTGACTTAATGTCATGTTGACTTTTTTTCTAACCATGGCCCTAGCAGTAGTAAGTTGTAACATTTAAAATATGCTGGGTGTGGTGATGCACACCTGTAAATCCAGCACATGGGAGGCTGAGGCAGGAGGATCACCATGGCCAGGCTGAATTACAGAGTGAGACCCTGACAAAAACAAACAAATCCTAATAAATAACATAGGAGCATGTGTATATATGCATGGAAGCCTGTGTAAACACTAGGCGTGTATGAGCTCATATTATGATGTTCACTATGCCTAGTAGTGCATTTGTCAGAATTTATCCCCATCATTAAATGATGCATGACTGATTATATTTTTATCTGGACTGCTCCGTAAGTGTATTGGGCCTGAAAAATATTTATAAAGGTGATGCACTGATTTTCTACCTGTACAGCAATTGTTTGGTTTGTCTTTAAAACATGAAATACTTCTGCCTAATTGTATTTTGGGGGAATGTGAGAATCATAGAAATGATAGTTATATTTACTGAAAAGAAAATTTTGCTAGGTGTGGTGGCGCACGCCTGTAATCCCAGTACTTGAGAGGCTGAATGGCAGGGGGATTGCTGTGAGCTCGAGGCCAGTCTGAACTACATAGTGAGACTGTCTCAAAAAAAAGAAAAACAATAAAACTTAAAAAGAAAAGAATGTTTTGTGCTATTATCTGTTTCTTCTCTGCAAGAGAATCCAGTTTTGTCTGGCTGTATTAAGTAACTACTTTGAAGATAATGATACATAATGTATTAACTATTGTTATTCTCTTACTATTAGGAAATTTCATTCATTTTCTTCATAAAATAAAGTTTTAAAGAAATAATAGTTCTTTGCAGTTTGTTTTATTTTGGGGCTCAGCATTGTTAAGACTGGTGTTTAATTTTAAACTGAATGTGTAATACTTTGCTTGGGTCCCTCAGGATTATTTGTATGGGCAAACTACCACTTACCTGACATACAATGACTTCATAAACAAGGAACTTATCCTGTTCTCAAATTCCGACAACGAGAGATCTATCCCGTCCATGGTGGATGGTGAGTTCCAGGGAGATATTCTTTCTGTTTTATGAAATGGAACTTGACGCTCAGAAACAGTTCAATTAAAAGTGCAATTGTTTTCCCTTCTTTCAATTTAAAGGTTTGAAACCGGGTCAGAGAAAAGTCCTGTTTACTTGTTTTAAGCGGAATGACAAGCGAGAGGTGAAGGTTGCCCAGCTGGCTGGCTCAGTGGCAGAAATGTCTTCCTACCATCACGGGGAGGTGAGCACGGTCTGGGGTGTTCGCACACGTTTGGTGCAAGTGGAAACTGTAGTAGTACAAGTAGAGGAAGCAAAATCTAAACTAGAGAATAATTCGGTAAACTCTTCTCAGATGATAAATGTGCTTGCTTTTTGACCTAACACTTGCGGTTTTACAGAAGATGTTCCTACAGGGATGCTGACATTTGGGCCTGTATTTATATTTAGTGACGTTTATTTGTTGTGAGCTGTATTGCACACATGTATGGGATCGATGACACCAGTGACGCGCACACACACTGAAGCCTGTGCAGGGTCTGTTGCCAGGTGGGGCAAAAGGCAGAAGCATACTGAATGCCAAATGCCTAGGAGGACTCATCCCGAACTGTTCACTTTCAGTAATAACCATGTGTAAAAACTACAGTGCCAGCCATGTGTGGTGGCGTACGCCTCTAATCCCAGCACTTGGGATGGGAGGCTGAGTCCTAAATCAGAGTCCAGCCTGGGCAACTTAAGACTTTAGCAAGAACCTGCCTCAAAGTGAAAAATAAAAGAGCTGGGGATGTAGGTCAGTGTGGAGGCCTTCAGTTCCCTCTCCAGTACCACAGCAAAACAAAACCATTAGCTGCAAGTTCCTAGGAAATTTAAATGTAATGGTTGTGCTATTTACAGCTTTAAATCACTATATGGTAAGGCCTCTTAAGTATTTACCCGACTTACATTTGTTAAATGCCTACATTGTACCACCCACCAATCTGAATGTACCCTTCTAGACAGACCAGGTAAGTAAAAGTTGATGTAAAATATGTTCCCTACCTTCAAGGCATAATCACAGTTTAGCCAGAGGGTCAGCACACACACACTGTAGTATGAAGAGATGCATGCTAGAACAGAAATGGGCCCCATCTTGTGACAGACATGGAAATATTTCATTTCCCTAAAGGAAAAACAGGAATTTTTCTGGTGTATACCTGTAATCTCAGCACTCGGGAGGCTGAGGCAGGAGGACCGCTGTGAGTTTAAGACCAGCCTGGGCTACATAGTGAGTTCCAGGTCAGTCTCAACTACATAGTGAGACCCTGTCTCA